AGTAGTTTACTTTCAAGGTTCATGCATTCACCAAGTTTAACACACTTTGGTGTAGGCAAAAGAGTGTTGAGATACTTGAAAGGTACTGCTGACTTTGGCATTTGGTATAGCAAAAGTGATGGAAAGGTTGAAGGTTTTGTTGATAGTGATTGGGCTGGATCTATTGATGACTCTAAGAGCACAACAGGATATGTTTTTTCACTTGGTAGTGGAGTATTTTCATGGAACTCTAAGAAGCAAGATGTGGTTGCTCAATCCTCTGCCGAGGCTGAATATGTAGCTGCAGCAGCAGCCTCAAATCAAGCTATATGGGTCAGGAAAGTCTTGACAGATTTGAGTCATGTGCAAATGGAACCTACTGTGCTATGGTGTGATAACAAGTCAGCCATTTCAATTGCTAAAAATCCAATTCAACATGGAAGAACCAAGCATATCAATGTCAAATTTCATGCTATAAGGGAAGCTGAGAAGAATGGAGATGTTCAGTTGATGTATTGCAGGTCCGAGGAGCAATTGGCAGACATACTCACTAAGGCCCTTCCAAGTGCTAAGTTTAATGAGCTAAGAAGCAAGTTGGGAGTCCTTAAGAAAAGTTTTAAGGAGGAGTGTTAATGCAGTAAAACTTTTCCTTTGTTTTTTACTGCTATAATTAATTATGGTTGCTTGTATTAGTGGGTAAAGTTCTACAGTAATTATGTTTACTTAGTGCAGTAGATAATATCTTGTTAGTTTTCTGATTTTAGGCAAATCTACACACTTAATGATGATGGGAACATGTGTTTTACTGACAGCATTTATGGGCTCTATGTATGGCTGTCATTTTTCATGTATTTGCCTTATATATGAATGAAAAACAAGCAGAATGGTATGGTTGTTCAGCAAATACGAAATTGCTCTGTTCCGTAACCTTTCTTCTTCTCTGTTTCATGGTTTGTATGGTTTTTTATGTTTTATGCTTCCGCTGCCCATTGCTTGTCTTAACAGAATTCATCATTGTCATGGTGATCATTCTTGTTGGTCATGGTGTTGATCCAAGTGAAGGTCTTATTATTGATCTTAGGGTTGATTATGTTGTTGATCTTGGTGCTAATCTTGGTCAGTCGTGGTGTTAATCCATGTCAAGGCTCTTATTTAAGTGTGGGTCATGGTGCTGATCTACCTTGGTCGTGATATGAATAATAATATACCGAAAAGACTAGCCTTAAAAAATCCTAATTTCTCTAGTGATGAGTTGGGTTCATGGAGACCCAAGGCCCAACACTTGTTTTAAAGAAACTTGACAACTCATAAAACTATTTTTTAAAAACCCATTTTAAGTCCAGAAGCACTTTCCCAGATTATTTATTTAATTAGAACTAACAAGAATAATATATTTAATACTTACCAATATATATAATTTAGAAAAGAAAAAACTGTTTAACATATGAATTTTTATGAGTCAGTTGTAGAGTAATGCATGAAATATACCTCTAAAGAAGAGAAGAAACAAATATTAAAAATATAATGAGAATATCTAAAGAAGTCACCGCCGGAAACATTATTCACCAAACCGTATGAATTATGAAAGTTACCTATTAATAATTATAATTGATAAAGTCAACAATTGTCTTGGCTGACTTACTCTTTTAATTTAAAATAAATGTGATAAAAAAAAATTTAAGGAAAAATGGTCTGGAAAACCATCTAAACTAAAATGACTCGTCCTATTAGTTAAGACAAGCCCCCTAAGTTTGCCATGAAGAAACAACACAACATTTAAGGAGTATTTTTTTGTCCTGCAATGTATTCTTCCACCTATTTGGTTGGAGACTAATTTCACTTACCATATTATAATTTTCATTGACTAAAAGCGTTTTCATATATAATAGACGTCAAACACGAAACTTCATTCTAAATAAATCATTCGCACGTGTTGTTCAAGAAAAAAAAAATGGTATTTCGTGCAGGGGTAGAAGGAAGGGGTGACTTGGAGATGCCACGATCCTCCCTATTTTTATCAAATATATTTAAATCACTATAAAATAAAATAAAATTTAAAGCCCCCTTAAATCTATAAAAACTATTAAAATTTATAGATGAAAATTATCATTTATTAGTCACTTAAGGAAAGAAAGTTATATATATATATATATATATGAGAGCATATCAAGTGAGAGGAAATTTATTATGAGAGATGAGAGAGTTAAAATATAACTTTTAGATTAATTTTCTCTCACTTGATTAAACCTCAAATTTTCTCTCACTTGATTAATCTAAAAATTATATTTTAAATCTCTCATCTCTTATAATAAATTTTTTCTCACTTGATATGCTCAATATATATATATATAATATATA